GTTTTCCAGTTAAATGTTCACTTAGCCTAGTAACTTATGCCCTTTATAGAGATATAAATAGGGGATTTTCACTGGATATGTGCCAGTAATTATATTTTTTCAGTGTGGTCCACTGGTCATCTATACCTGTGTTTTTGCACTTTACTCATGCTGTCTTGTCTATTGTGAGTAAAACAAGTGAAGAAGTGCTTAGTCGCTCAGTCGTGTCCAGCTCTTTGCGACCCCATGGACCGTAGGCCATCAGTCTCCTCCGTCCATGGGATTCTCCAGGCAAGAATACTGGAGTGGGTTGCTATTTCCTTCTCCAGGGGATCTTCCTAACCCAGGGACTGAAACCCGGTCTCCTATGTCGCAGGCAAATTCTTCACTGTGAGCCCCCAGGGAAGCCCTTCCTGTGTGTGACTCCTTTCACTGTGGTCGTCACTTCAGAAATCGACTCGGTAATCTCTGAGGCTGTTCCCCACCCCACCCCACCCCTGTAAGTAAGGCTGGTGAGACTTATCTGGTGCCAGCACATTATTATCTAATCCAGTGTTTCCTACTGGTTTTCCTCTTTGGGGAAGCTTAACATGTATAGCATAGCATACCTTCTTTCTTTCACTGATTTTAATCTAATTCTACTTTTAAAAGTTATAAAAATTATTTTTAATTCCTTTTTTAAAAATTCTTCAAAATTTTTCAGCCTCGCTAACTTATAAAAGAGGTGTTTGGTTTTCTTCCTTCTTGCTGCTTTCATTGCATAAAAGAGTTTTGTTATATTTTATATTTTATATATGTTCCTTTAAGGGGCTAGTATCTCACCTAACCTAGGCTAGGTGTTACCATCTCCCTCATCAAAATTATCTCAAAGTTAAAACATTTCCTCCATGGACATATGCTTTCCTCTTAAAATACGAAATCACAAATGAGCTAAGGCTGGGTTGTATGTATGTCCCTTGAGGAAAAACAAAGCCAAAGGAAAAAATGAACATACAGAAACGCAGGGCAGTAGACACATAGTGCGATCCCAGTATAGCACTCTTTCTTTTGACCGCAGCGCGTCTGAAGTGTGTGGCGTTGCTGGACGACCACCGCAGCTCTGTGCCACAGGCCGCCGGCACTCGGACACCAGTAGACTAGACGCGTCTTTCTTACTCGGTGGTGCAAACATAATTGCGATTTCAGATCATGAATTTTAAATCATTATAACTAGGCTCGAACACATCTTATTAATCAAAATGGGAACCATTACTGTCAACACATTTTTGCCAATGAGAGCTAAGTTTGTTTATTCCTGTGGCGTGAAAACCTGTTCTTCAGGATTTGATGAACTCACGGAAAGCATTTTCTGGCTCCTGCTGGTTGTGGAAGTGTTTTCCTTACAAAAAGTTGTCCAGATGCTTGAAGAAGTGGTAGTCGGTTGGCGAGAGGTCAGGTGAGCGTGGCAGATGAGGCAAAACTTCGTAGCCCGGTTTGTTCCACTTCTGAAGTGTTGGTTGTGCGGTCGGGCGGCGTGGAGAAGAACCGGGCCCGTCCTGGTGACCAGGGCTGGCTGCAGGCCTTGGAGCTGTCAGTGCATCTCACCAATTTGCTGAGCATGCTTCTCAGATGTGACAGTTTCTCTGGGATTCAGAAAGCTGTAGTGTACCAGACGGGCAATAGACCACCAGTGACCATGACCTTTTCTGGTGCAGGTTTGGCTTTGGGACGTGCTTTGGAGCTTCTCAGTCCAACCACTGAGCTGGTCACTGCCGGCTGTTGTATAAAATCCTTTTCATCACACATCACAACCCGATAGAGAAATGGCTCGTTGTTGTTGCATAGACTTAAGACAACACTTTAAAATGACAATTTTTTGAATTTTGGTCTGCTCATGTGGTGCCCGCTTACTGAGCTTTTTCACCTTTCCAGTTTGTTTCGAATGCCAAATGACCATAGAATGGTCAACGTTGAGTTCTTCAGAAACTTCTCATGTAGTTTGTAAGAGGATCAGTTTCAGTGATTGCTCTGCATTGGTCCTTGTCACCTTCCGATTGCTGGCAACTGTGCTCCTCGTCTTCCAGGCTCTTGTCTCCTTTGTGAAACTTCTTGAACCACCACTGCACTGTACGTTTGTTAGCAGTTCCTAGGCCAGATGCGTTGTTGATGGTGCAAGTTGTCGCCACTGCTTTAAGACCCATTTTGAATAAGAAACCTCTTGAATTTGGTTTTTGTCTAACATCATTTCCCTAGTCTAAAATAAATATGAAATAAACAGTGCATAATAAGTCATTAGTAAAAAAGCATAAAGCAAGAAACACACGTTAAAATGATGTATAACATAACCATATTTATTTAAGAATGTATTCCAATATCAAATGGCAGATTCCAGCAGTGCAAAACCACAATTACTTTTGGACCAACCCGATAGTTTCTGTTAACCTGTTTCCTAGTCATGTATATAAATTGACATCTTTTGTGGTATTAGTGTGGGCGTGCCCTTCAAAGGTCTAAGCACGTGTGTCTGCAGTGTGTCAGGCACTGCGCTTGTCTAGGTAGACTGATTAGTGAAAGAAGATCCTTTCAGACAGCTTTTAAGCACAAAAAAGAAAGAAAACAAGACAGCTATGAGACAGTGACTGGCAAGGAGTGGGTGCCACCTCCAGTTGGGCGGTCTTAGAGAGGGATGTTTGAACTCAGGCCAGAATAACAATAAAGTGTGTACATTCAGAGATGGGGGTGGGGCGGCCGGGACAAAGGCATGAAGACAGTAGGAACTTGGTGAACATGGAAGGATATGACTGGAGCTTGGGGGTAGGGGTGGATATAAAGATGGTAGGATGCGACCTAGCTTCCCTGGTGGCTCAGATGGTAGAGCGTCTGCCTGAACCGCGGGAGACCTGGGTTCCATCCCTGGGTCGGGAAGATCCCCTGGAGAAGGAAATGGCAACCCACTCCAGTACTCTTGCCTGGAAAATCCCATAGACCAAAGGAGCCTGGTAGGCTGCAGTCCATGGGGTCTCAAAGAGTTGGACATGACCGAGTGACTTCACTCCTTGGGGGTGGGGGTGGGTGCAACAGGTGCGGTAGGGATCCCTGGTGGACAGAGCCTGGGACCATGGGCTGTGGTTTCGAGGCAGGGCTTATTCTGATGGCAGTGAGGGTTTTAAGCAGGGCAGTAACATTTAATTTTCAGAAGCTCTTGTAGACTGCTTTGTAGAGAACAATCTCAGTTTTTAGCCATCCTAAAGATTCTCTGAACTGTGCTTACTGCTCATGCATCCAGAGAGGCCTGCCAGCTTGGGGCTTTTATCGTCATCTCCCACAGCCCTGACTTTGAAGCTCCTCTGTTTATTAGTTGGAGTGTGTGGGGACTGCCTTTGGTGTGAAAGTTTGAGCCACACCTCTCTGTGGTCTGGAGGGAGGTGGGTACCACCCAAACCCCAGAAGTGTGAAACACATCTTGCAAACTTCTCTCCCTGGCCCTCCCTGCACATCCTTTGAGGTGGAAGTTCCATGAGATACAGCAGGGCCCATAAGGTGGGCGCTTAATAACGCTCTGAAAATGTGAGAGAAGGAAGGGTTTGCAGTGAAATTAGGGAGGGACCACTTCCTATTTCCTGCCGATAAAATCAGTCTGCCCTCCATATGCAGGTTCCACATCCAGGGGTTCAGTTAACCTCAGATGGAAAATATTGGGTTGGGGGGCGAATTTCAGAAAGTTCCACAGAGCAGAACTTGAATTTGTTACACACTGACAACGATTTACATGGGATTTACTTTGTATTACTGGGTATTACAGGTAATCTAGAGATGGATGTTAGTTTCAGGCGTACAGCAAAGTGGTTCAGCTTTATATGTATATATATATATATTTTTTTATCATATTCTTTTCCATTGTAGTCTGTTACAGGATGTTGGATATAATTCCCTGTGCTGTACAGTGGGACCTTATTGTTTATAGTTTATATCTGCTAGTCTCAAACTCCTAATGGATCCCCTCCCCCCCCCACCTTCCCCCTTTGGTAACCATAAATTTGTTTTCTGTGTCGGTGAGTCTGTTTCTGTTTTGTAAGTTCATTGATACTGTACCATTTTACATGAGGGACTTGTGTATCTTTGAGTTTTGGTGTCTGAGGGGAGTCCTAGGACCAATCCCCTGGGATTCAGCAGGACAGCTGTAATGTGGCCTTGCCCTCTTTGTTCACAGGGTACCCTGTTCTCAAGTCCCCCAGTAGAAATTTACTGACAGTAGAGGGGTGAGAACTTAAGGCTGGTTCTTGATTTGTTAACGTACAGGCGCAATTATTACTGGTGATTTTGTGAAGTCAGAATATTTCTTAATTTTCTTCTGTGTGCCAGGCATTACGAGGCCTTCAGTGTTGAATGATTGAGAGAGAATTTCTACCTTCAAAAAGTTTTTAAAATAGACTTTTATCACATATTTTCAGATGTGTGTGTGTGTTAGCCGCTCAGTCATGTCCAATTCTATGTGATCCCATGAACTGTAACCCACTAGGCTACTCTGCCCATGGGATTCTCTAGGCAAGAATACTGGAGTGGGTTGCCATTCCCTTCTCCAGGAGATCTTTCCAACCCAGGGACTGAACCCGGGTCTCTTGCATTGCAGGCAGATTCTTTACCAGGGAAGCCCATTTTCAGATTATCCTCTTTAAAAACTATACTTGATAACACTTATAACATCCATAAATTAAAGAACTCAAACTAATCATGCTGCATTAATTTTATGTTCAAAATTAATAACCAGATTTCAGGGACACCAGAGGAAATTAGCTTAGACCTTATTTAAAGGTTTGTTTACTTTTAACAAACTGTGTGATATGCTTATTGGTCAGTACTGTTTGTTAATATCACAGACGTGTTTAATTCATAGTAGCTTCATTGTTTAAATTCCTATTGTATATATGGAATATATTTCTTCTTAGACTATTTTTGGTAAAATAGTAAAATTGAAGTTTTTTTTTTTTTTTTTTTTTACCTTAATATGCCAATCCATACTGAGCTGTTGCTCTCTTTTATAGGGAAATCCTCGTTGACGATTCAGTTTGTTGAAGGCCAATTTGTTGACTCCTACGATCCAACCATAGAAAATAGTAAGTATTGTTTTCAGGGATTTATAAGCTGAGAAGCCTGCTTTTTGCTTATCAGCAGCCACTGTGTGTTCCTGGAGGCTTGGATTGCAGAGCGTATTCAGTTAAACCTATAGATCTCCAACCAGGGGCCCAGAAAAACTTCTACAGCTTTACCCATTTCACAAGGAATGAATTTTACTTCACACTGAATGAGTGATGTCCAGATCCCATTATGTCGAAGTTGTTACTCATTTCCATAGGATCCAGTTCCACATTGGAACCTCCTATTAGAGATGCTGCTGTAAGTGAAGAGTATGCAGTCTTTTCTTTCCTCTTCTCAACGGTAGCCCTTTCCAGTGATTCCAAGCTTGAAAGGATGAAAACACTCCAGATCCTTTGAACCTTACCCTTGTAGACGCGCTAGTCCCCACAGCCCCTTCCAGCTCTAAAGACTTGAGAGGAGGCTGTGGAGAGTGAGCTGTTTCAGGATTGGAAAGAGCCCTCGCAGCGTTTTCTGACAAGTTGCATCCAGAGCTCGTTGGCATTTCAGGCCGTGTGCAGAGAAGAGCCCCCAAGACCAGAAACGGCCTCGGCCTTTACTTTGTCCAGTATCAGTCTGTGGTTTCAGAATCTTCCTGAAGGATTCTAGGCCCATGACACAAGCCTAGATTGCAGGAAACAGGGAAGAGAATCTGGAACACTTGCAACCTGGGAAGCCGGTGTTTTGGATGCTGGTCTTATTCTTTGCTGTCTTAGAACTCTAGGTAGACACTGGAACCAAGTCTTGAGTTTCTTAACAACCAGACTTAACTAGCATCTCCGCAGGAGCTTACAGATTTAAACCTGAGACTGTCAGAGTCTGATTGGCATGTTAGACATGAAGCCAACTTAACAGCCGGGTTCATGACTCTTACCAGCTGGATTTGTAGACTTCTGCCCACAACCTGCTCGAGAGAAACTTAAAACAAGGCTCACGACGGGTTTGATAGATGATGGCCTGCATGTCACAAAGGCCTCACTACCTGTTTGTACAGCTCTTGAGCAAAGAATGATTTTTGCATTTTTTAATATTTGAAAAAGTCAAAAGAAGAATAATGTCAGTGACATGTGAGTGTTGCATGAAATTCAGATTTCAGGATCCATAAAGTTTTATCAGAACACGGCCCTGCCAAGACGGTGTGCTCCACTGTCTCTGGCCGTCTTAGCTGTATGATCGCAGAGCTGTTGAGTGGCTGCCTCAGAGACCATCTGGCCCGAAGAGCCTGAAATAGTTACTGTCTGGCCCCTTTCAGACAGAGTTTGCCAGCCTCTGGCTTAAAATACTCAACTGTCCTTTGCGTCCCAGCGTGCTGGTGGCAGGGAAGGAAGCCTGTCAGTTGCTGAGCTGACTCCGGGCAGATCCGAGTTTGAGGTAACCCCTGCCAGTCTCTGGAAGGAGGTGTCCTGACTGCATCCTGTGGTGATGTGTTTCGCTGGCATCGACTAGTGTGCCAGTGTGAGGAGCAGATTCATCTGAATGCTACATGCACAAGCTTGGTTGCCTCGGCGTCAGAATAAGGACAGAATGACCCATGACGTTGTCCTTAATATCTGCTGTACATAGCAGTTTCGCAGTTTGCCCTTAAAGAGATAAGGCTCATTTGGGAATTCTATCCATAGAAGACAGTTTTCATGGCAAGCTCTGCCCTAAAAGTGCTTCCTCTAATTGTGCCATTTAGAATTGAGTTGGAAGGAAAGTCATGTTGTATATAAATACATTTTCTTTGTATGTAAGTAATGGAACTGGTGAAAGTGGGACTTTCTTACCTTGATGCTATCTCAAAACCAGAATATAATCCTGCCTTGAAGGCTGTCAGCATCGTCTTTAATCACATTTTTAATATTTTCCTAACACTTAGTGTTCCGTAATAAAGATTGAATTCTCAGTATTTATTAAATCTTTTGGCAAGAGCAGAAATGACTGTCAGAGTATGAGTCCCTTTAAAGTTCCTGAGTGGGGCCTCCCCGGTGGCCCGGCGGCTAAGAGCTCTCCTGTGAGCACAGGGGACACGGGCTCGACCCCTGCTCCGGGAAGACTTCACAGGCCACAGCGCGGCCGCCGAGCCCTTGCCCTAGAGCCCACGCTCCGCAGCAGAAGAACCCCACGCACTGCAACCAGAGGGGAGCTCCTGCCCACCACAGCTCGAGAAAGCCCCTGCAACAGTGAGGACCCAGCACAGCCAAAAAAGTTTATGAGGCATACACAGACATCATGTTCCGAATATGAGGCTTCTGACCAACTAACAGTGAGAAACCCTCCACCTTTTCCCCCACAATGTAGCAGAAGAAAATTGTTCAGAGAAGACAAGGAACGAGCAAGGAAATGGTTCCCATAAACTTGTTGGTAGCATCATAAATGAATGTGTGGTTTTATGGTTTTAAAAAACAGTACTCTAAATCTGGGAACCGCTACACCTAACTTTATAATCTAGTCCAGGTTGTTGCTAGCAAACATTCAGTAGTAACACATCTCTGAAGTATCACTGCAAAAGCAAAAATTCTGGGACTCGGTCATCTTTTAACAGGGGTTTAAGAAAATAGCATCAATAAAACCATGGTAATATTTTCTAGTTTGAGGAAATTTCTAGACCAAATACTACTCTGCCATTGTGCTTTCTTATATACTGTAGTGTTACTCCCACAACTCAATTCAAACTAGATTGATACGATGAAATGTAACGGTGGTGGTTGTTCAGTTGCTCGGTCGTGTCCGACTCTTTGTGACCCCATGGACTGCAGCACACCAGGTTTCCCTGTCCTTCACTATCTCCCGGAGTTTCCTCAAACTCATGTCCATTGAGTCGGTGACGCCATCCAATCGTCTCGGCCTCTGTCGTCCCCTTCTCCTGCCTTCAATCTTTCCCAGCATCAGGATCTTTTCCAAGGAGTCAGTTCTTTGCATCCCATGGTCAAAGTATTGGAGTTTCAGCATCAGTCCTTCCAGGGAATATTCAGGATTGATTTCTTTTAGGATTGACTGGTTGGATCTCCTTGCAATCCAAGGGGCTCTCAAGGGTCTTCTCCAACACCACAGTTCAAAAGCATCAATTCTTCGGTGCTCAGCTTTCTTTATAGTCCAACTCTCACATCCATACATGACTACTGGAAAAACCATATCTTTGACTAGATGGACCTTTGTCAGCAAAGCAATGTCTCTGCTTTTTAATAAGCTGTCTAGGTTGGTCATAGCTTTCCTTCCAAGGAGCAAGCATCTTTTAATTTCATGGCTGCCGTCACACCTCAATTCAAACTAAATTGATATGAGGAAATCTCACAGTGGTAGTTTATAATTTAAAGGAAAAATAGCAGCAGTTCACAGTTTCTGCCATCTGGAGGTAGCACTGTTGGTGAGTTAGTACAGCTCCTCACCGAAAGTTGGGAGATTCTTCTTAGGCGTTGTACCACATCACCGCGTGTTGCATGATGGGTAACTTGTCCAGCAGACTATGAATTAGGAGTTCTCAGCACACATTAGTAACACAGATCTTACTTTGTGAGTCCCTCATTTTAGAAATCTTTATTAATATGCTCCTTATTTGCTTATTAGGTTTAACTTTAGCTCGTAAGCAGCTGTTCATCTTGCTTGCGGCAGTTTCAGGGTTTGAGGTTGGAAATTGGAGGAATTTCTCTAGTGATTAGAAAAGGGAGGGAGAGAGGAGAGCCCAGGTAGAGGCTTGCAGGAGCCAGCTGCCTTCCCCTTCTGCACCAGGAGGTCGTGTCGAGTCTTCCTGGGCTGTGGAACCCACAGGCGTGCCTCTCACTGCACTTCCCTTTTTTCTGTAGTAACAAGAAGAGGCAGTGTTCCCTCGGCAGATGGAAGGTCTTCAGTTTCATTTCACTGCTGTGTGTAGGAGGGTTTACATCCTCTTCCTAGGGAATGAAATGCTAAAACACTTATTAATATCTTGTTTCTTTTCTGTCTCTCCCCTCACTGGCCAGTACTTCCTCTGTTCCTTGGTTGAATCTCCTGTCTTTCTGACCCGGCCTCGCAGGTGCCCCCGGCGTTCAGACCCTTGCTCTCTCATGACCCTGTCTCTCCCCTCAGCTCAGCTGTCTCAGCTGCCCCCGCTGCCCCCTGGATGTTTCCTGGGCTTTCACGCGGAACATAACTAAACCCAGCCGCACCGCGCCCGCGCCTCCTCCAGGCCTCTCTGCTGATGGCTGGTGACTCGGGCCTCGAGTTGCTCGGGCCAGAAGCTCAGGAGTCATCCTGATCTGCATTCTCTCACACCTGCTTCCAGTCCATGAGAAAACCCACTAGCTGTCCTGTGCCCTGTGTCCAGAATCCGCTGTTTCTCAGCCCTCCAGGCCAGGCCCCTGTCCTTCTTAGATCATGATAGTCTAGATGGCATCTCCTGGTGTCCCTCATCCATTTTCGTCCCATCTCATTACTCATGGCATAGCCAGAGTGATCACACCAGGTTACTCACCACGTCCTAGCTTGTTCATCACCTTGCCCCTCTCCCCACCCCCACCCTCACTGTTCTCGCGGTCTCAGTGGCTTAGTCTTTCTCACTTTTCCTTGACTTTCTTACGTTTTCACTTGCAGTTTCAGCTCTGCCTGGATGCTTCTCATAGAGAAGCTGATTGTGTGTGTCTGTCTCTCCATCTGCTTCTTCTTCCTTTTCCTGGGGTGTCAGCTCACCGAGGTCAGAGACAGCAGTATCTTGAACACTTGGAACAGTGCTGGCGGTGATCACCAGTCCCCAGGAAAGAGTTCCTGAGCAGTGAATGTTCTGTCTCGGTGATCTTTTCTGGGTTTCTTGCTCACCAGCGTCCCTGCAGAGCTGCCGTCGGGTCTCAGATGTGCTTCTGGTCTCACCTGACTGTGATGGGGAGGGGGCAGGTCTTCACACAGGCACACCATGACTGCCCCCGGCTGACAGCCATCAGGAGCACAGTCAGTCTGCTCTGCACCCCAAATTCAAGCTTACAGCGTAGGGGAGGAGTACAGTAGCATTTTTCTCTTAGAAGTGATGAAAGCAGTTTATCTTGGGTACTCCCTGTCTTGATATATTCTGATTCAGTTTTCATCTAGTGTGACTATTTAACTGAAGTGATGGTTTTCAAAAAGAGCACAGGAATGATAAAGTGTGGCAGTTGGCCTGAGTAGTCTGCTGTGTGATTCTCACTTCCCTGATTCTAGCCCCGCCCTGGTCGCATCAGAAAAACTTGGTGCTAGGAAGAGTCTCTTTGATTGTCTCATCTGTTGGGGGCCAACCTTTCTCTCCCGGGAGAATTCATCATTGAGCTAAGATCTCTCCTCCTCGTCACGGCTTTCTCTCAGGATTTTCATCGGTCACTTTTTGCTTTCTCTTTCGTCTGTGGAACAGAGTGGCAGAAGTGGGTCCTCTCTCAGTGGAGCAAGGAGTAGGTTCTGTTGGCCAGCTCCAGTCAGGTGGGGGGCCAGCCAGGAGATTGAAGACTCAGGCTGAGTCAAGATGCTGGGCCTGGGGTGTGCAGAAGAAATCTGTTCCATTTATTTACCAGGGGTTCATATCCTATTAGTATTAATAGTTCTCTCCACTTTCATCTCTATTTGTTTGCCGTCTTTCTCCTTAGAATTATGAACTTTCCCTAAGTGACTTGAGTCTGATTCCCACCTACCCCCCTGATAGGGAAAAACCAGTTGTGACAAATTGCTTCCAACCTTAAGCCAAGTCAGAGTGGTGACTTCACAAAGAACATCTATTCTGTGCTGTTCTATTTCTCGGTAAAATTGTTAATTTTTTATGCACTGGAAGTTCTTAGCGCTTCAGTTAATATTAGCTGTATGTGTTCTGACACCAGACTTGCTATAAATTAATGAAAAGTTGTGTGCTTTGGGTTCATTCTAGACCTCAGACTTTATATGTTGTACTTTTTCACAAGAGGACTGTCCACAGAGCATTCATACGGCTTTTTATAAGATAGGAAGTGTTGTCTGCTTTCAGTTTCTTTGACTAAAACCAATCAGGCAAACCTTGAACTATTTTCAGTTGCCACTGCTGAGTTAGATAATGGAAGAAGGGAAGAGTCTATTAACTCAGACATTCTTTTTTGTTTTCTGGGATCATTTTATGAGATTATCAAGGACTCTGCTTAATTGCTTGTCATTGTTCAAGCTTTCAGTGATCGAAAGTTCATTTATTTCTAGCTAACAAATATTTTAATTCCTTTTTCACTGTAGCTTTCACAAAATTGATCACAGTCAACGGACAGGAGTATCACCTCCAACTTGTAGACACAGCTGGGCAGGTAAGTGTGTCAGAATCCCGCGCAACGTGCCCGGCGTGCTGGCCCTGCCATTCGTAGCCACGAGGATGCCGCCGAGAAAGCCCTGTGATCATGTGTGTTTGGACATCAGCAGACTGTCTGCTGTGTCTTTTCAAAGAGACTTATGGGAGTTTTTTCAAATAGCTTGTTTTTCTACTTCAGAATTTGTTTTAAATATATTCATGGTGGCGTTGTAAAGGTTTATATTTATTACAGGATAGTTTTCTATTTTCTAAACATTGATTCCATATCAGAGGATCACATCAGTGCTTTTCCTCCCTTTGAAATACATCTCCTTCTACATTAAGAACAAAAGTAGCTCTTTCCCAGGGGAAAAGGCATGGGAAAGGTATAAGACAGAAACGAGCTGGTTGTTTGGATTTATTATATGATTACACGATTAAAGAGTGTCAGTTTTATTTGCTAGACAGTAATTGCCAAAGGTAAGTAACCCCTCCCCCCAAAAGATATTCACAGGTTAATGTGACAGTGATGGTGGTGAGTGGGTCGCCGGCACCAGTGGTAAAGAACCCGCCTGCCAGTGCGGGAGACATAAGAGATGGGAGTTGGATCCCTGGGGCAGGAAGATCCCCTGGAGGAGGGCATGGCAACCCACTCCAGTATTCTGGCCTGGAGAATCCCATGGACAGAGGATTCTGGCAGGCTGCAGTCCATGTCACGAAGAGTTAGGCGTAACTGAAGCGACTTAGCATGCACGCAAAAGATAAAAGAAATGAAGAGAACGTCAAAGGAACACAGAGAACCCTTTGACAGCTCATTTTCCCCATTACATGTCACCCAGTCCCACTTTGGTTAAAAACCGCTTTGTTCAGCTGAACTTACGACTGTTGACCGAAGGCTGGGACCTGTAAAGATGCTGGGGTGCCACCTTGTGTCTTAGAATCAACAGGGGATCAGACAGGTGAGAGTCAGGTAGATGGGTCTGCCATGTTAAATGGAGGCTTTTTTTTCTGGACCTGGGAAAACTGGGATAGACCTAGAGGGATGTGGCCTGCCTTCTGGGTTTGGAATGAATTCCCTCTGCTTTATATTTTGAAGTGAACAAAGAAGGAACGTGTAACCACTCCCCCCCCTCCAACCCTGCCCCCCGGCCAGTGAAGCAAGAGAATAACTGTATTGAGTCATTTTGGCGGTGCAGGGAATCCTGGAGTTTCCTTTCTGGAAGCTTCAAATACAGCAAATGTGTGTGTCAGAGAGCTGTAACACCCAGCTCATTCTCTCAACGTCGATGTGGATTTGCTGGGCTTTCGTCTTCAGACCTCATGGGGTTTTCTTATAGCGGAGCCATTCTAGGCTTTCAGTCAATGGGGGTCCCTGCCCATTGCAGAGTGGGAGCCTACTGGAACAACAGAAATCTCCACCAGTGACCGACCTCATAGACGACTGACCATAGATGACTGATCACGTGGCTTCGAAACCAATGTAGAAAGCCCCTGGGATAGGCCCTTATTCTGGGTGTGTTCTACGAGGTTTTGTTTTGCTCTAAAGCATAAATGTACACTTTGCCATTAATTGTTTTAATGAGCGGGTGATACAAAGAATGGCCCTGAAAGGACCAGAGCTCTCAGGGACTGTGTCCGGTGTGAGTGTGACAGGAGCGTGGGCTAAGTCCTGAGCCCTGCTGTCTTGCTCCTTTGGATTGTGTTACCACCGGCTCAGAATATGTAGAGAATTTCTGCACAGAATATACCCAGATTAGGTGCTTTGAATAACTTGTTCTCGTTGCAGCTAATAGCTCCTGAAGGCTGTATTCATGCTTGGGAGACCATTAAAGGCTCTGCTGGTGTTCATACACCATTCAGGATGGCACAGCGGGGCGGTATTTCTTGCACCCTGGTCCCACCCTCATTCTGTAGAAACTAGATGACGTGGCACTTACATTTACTGCTCCAGGAGCTGTTTTTAAATTGGATTCCTATGGGCTGGCTCTGGGGTTAAGACCGTGGTAGCAAGGAAGAATGATTAAAGGGCAGTTTCCTAAGAAGCAGTTTGTAGTAAATTTGTTCATTCATGCATTTGAGGATTAAAATTGCATGTAATCAATTACTGTATAGCAGTATATGATAGCAAGTACTGTTTATGTAGTAGTTTATTTTATGTAGCTGATTTAATTGCCCAGCTAGGGATGGTGATGAACATGGTAAATACAAGTTGGTTATTTTTAGTTTGCATGAAATATTTTGTTTTGGTCTAATTTAAGTAAACTCATGACAAGTGAGTCAGATACAGTCAATTTTAATGTCAAATTCCCACTCCCCCCCCCCCTTTTCCTGTCTTCTAAGGTCATCTAAAAATAATAGTACATGTACATGTTAATAGAAATAAAATAACGCAAAGAGGTAAATAGTCAAACTCAAATCTTTCTACTGTAGCTGTCTTAGCTTTCTTCTGCCAGCAGTAACCCATTGTAAGTTTTTAGTAAATACTTCCAAGTTCTTTTATACATGAACATACAAATATATTTCATTTTAAGTTTTTTCTTTTATTTTCTACACAAAAAGTAATGTGTTTCTGTATCTCCATCTTGGAGATTATTTTGTATCAGTACAGACAGCCTGCCTGGCCCTGCCAGGGCTGCATAATAGCCCATTGTTTGGATATATCATTTGTTGTTTAGTCAGTAAGTCGAGTTTCTTTGCAACTCCATGGACTGTAGCCCACCAGGCTCCTCTATCCGTGGGATTTCCCAAGCAAAGAATACTGGAGTGGGTCACCATTTCCTTCTCCAGGGGATCTCCCTTACCCAGGGACTGAATCCACATCTGCATTAGCAGACAGGTTCTTTACCACTGAGCTGCCACAGAAGCCCAGGATACATCATAATTTTAACTGTTGATCAGCAATTAGGTTGTTTCCAGTCAGGCCACCACCAGCAGTGCTGCAGTCAATATCTTGTGTTGTTCTAGAAAGATGGTTATATCTGGCACATATATAAGAAGATTTCCTGGGTGGGGGGCTACTGGACCCACAGGGTCACCTGCTTGGCAGCAGTCAACAGGACTACCTATTTCCCTGTAGCCTCACCAACACGGTGTGTGGCCAATTTTTTTTATATTTGCCAGTCTGCTGGGTGAAAAATAGTATCCCAGTGTCATTTTAATTATCTTTCTTCTTAAGGAATTTGATCTTATTTTCCTGTGTTTGAGGACATCCGTATTTCCATTCTGTGAATTACCTTGTCTGTTCATGTACCTCACCCTTGTCTTTTGGGAGGATGGTCTTTGCTTGCTGATTTTAAAGATCCCTTAATATGTGAAGAAAAACAAAAAAAGAAATATGTGAAGAAAATTAGCATTTAGTATATGAGCTGAGCTTTGAGGTTTTGTTTTCAGTCTTCCTATTGTTTGAAAGACTTTTAGCCCTGAAGAACTTCTTCATTTGCATAGAGTCGAGTTGATTAACCCCTTTTTAGCCAAGACTGTTGTTGCTGTTTTTTAATTCTCCCATCCACTGCGTGCACAGTGTCAGTTTTCATCTTCAAATCTTTCTCTCCTCTGGAATACACTTTTGCTAAGGTGTGAGTTAGAGATCCAGCTTCATCACTTACCCCCAGGTGGCTCGCATTTGTTCGCTGTAGTTTGTTGAGGGTTACCTTTCACCCTTAACTGATTTGAAATGCCAGTGTTATATGCCCGCTTCCTGGATCTGTTTGGGGCTCTACAGACTCCCAGTCTGCCCCATTCATGAGATGCAGTCCTGCTCTGGTTAATCTCTAGCTTTATAGTTCCCACCCCCTGCTGCGCAGGTGCTGTTCTTTCTCAGGAAGTAGACTTGTCATCAGGAGTACGTTGCATTCATGTATAGTTTAGGATTAGTCCTTACGAGTCTGCATATTCTTGCTGAAGTCTGTGGCACACTCTTTGGCTGATTTAAGTCTTTTTATCTTTTAGGACTATTTTAAGATTCTCTTCAGCTGGACCATATATTACACTTCTATTTTCTTAGGTTTTATTCCTAGGAATTTTGTCTTCTTTGGTCATTGTTAAAGCTGAGGGTCTTTTTCCTCCATTTTACTTTGACTAGTTTTTTCACACTGTGCCTCTTGAATATGATTATTATTTTCTTTTTTCCCTCGCCTTTGCTTCAGGGAAAATATAATTTTTAACTTGGAGTCTGCTGTAGCTGAACTCTCGACTAAAAGCATTTGAAATTTTGTTTTAATCTGCATAGAAAGATCTGTCATTCCATTAATAATTTGATTTTCAGCATCAACACTAAAGTGAATTAAACTTAATCATAATTGTACTAATAATTAATGGTTTTACTTTGCATACATAGTAAGCTCTGTGATGTTGAAATGCTATTTCCTGATTAATATCAGAGCATTGATAGTTCTCTTTTTTTAAAAGACGCATTAGCATGGGGCAGTGATTCAGGGCCATCGTCATAACCACACTGGAACTGCCCAGTTAACAGACAGTTACTTGATGTGAGGCTGGCTTGGTGTGATTCTCCTACAGTAGAGCTTGGGATGGGATGGGATAGTAACAGCCGTGTTTCAGCCGAGCAGGAAATGTTTGTACCAGACAGTGGCACTCTTGAATCCTGCACTGATGGTAGGCACTTCCGTGTGCTTTAAATAATCGTGTGCACAAAGCACCAGCATTCTTCAGAAAGCTTTATAGAACTGGTCCTAATGGGCGGTGGCATAAGGTGTGCCTTTACTCCCTAAAGCTGCTCAATAAATAGCTCGTCCAACCCTAAAGCTTCTGAGTGTGCAGACTTGGGTCTGGCGTGTGGCCTTCTCAGTCACCCTCTTTTTTCCAAGTGCTGGTAGCGACCCACTAATGACCCATGGACTGGGCCCAGGCCATTGTGACTCATGTGTGGGAAATAGGTGAAAATACACATTTATGGCATAAACTAGAGCACTCGTAAATTTTCTTCGGGGCCTAAGGGACTCTGGGCTTTATATCCGTAAAAAATGTGGTGGTGCTTTTCCTTGACACAGGATCATGGAACCTGTCTTTTTCATTCCTTCTCTCTCACAAACTGCAGTAGACGTTAGCCATCCCTAGAAAGTCTTAGACTAGCCTGAGCCATTTATTGGCTTAAAGCATATTATTGCCCTCAAACCAGCCTTAAATCTTGGGTGTATAAAAGCTATGTCTCTAAAATAATAATCTACTTTGCTTTGATTTCTTTGACCATGTGATAGTCCAGATTGCTTGTTACCCTATATAAAGACTTTGTTGTTATTTAGTTGTTTAGTCATGTCTGACTCTTTTGTGACTCCATGGACTGTAGCTGGCCAGGCTCCTTTGTCCATGGGATTCTCCAGGCAAGAATACTGGAGCGGGTAGCCATTTCCTCCTCAAGGGGATCTTCCCAATTCAGGGATAGAATCCAGGTCTCCTGAGTTGCAGGCAGATTCTTTAATCACTGAGCCACCAGGGAAGCCCCATGTGAAGACTTTACTCAAATGCAATTATTTTTTCTTCCACAGGATGAATATTCCATCTTTCCTCAGACATATTCCATAGATATTAATGGTTATATTCTTGTGTATTCTGTTACATCAATCAAAAGGTAAGGCGTACTTCTTGCTTGAGTTTATTTGCCGTGCTTAGGTGACATTAATCCTTCTGAGGGATTATGCCGGAATTGGCAGTAGTAACAATCAGACTTTAATGGTTTTTAGTGGTTGTCTGGTGGAGCAAACAGGTTGTTAAGGGAAAAAATTATCCCATTCAATATTCTCTTGCACCAGTGGAATAAAAAACTATGTCTTTACCTCAGACTGCCCAGAATAGTGAATGAACATGATCTGAGCTTTCCTGCTAATTAAAATGGGAAATACTTAATTGACTTATTTTTCTGTGTTTTTACCTTATTAGTGTGGAGCATAGGCTGATTGCTAAGGAACATTCTGCAAATGTTTTATTCAGAGATTAAATCAGCCCAGTTGTAAACGTTTCCATTTAAGTATCTTGCCTATTCCATCTTGAATATTCTCAGTAAGGGCTACGAGTGTTGAATACATACACATATGAAAAAGAATGCTAGGAAAAAATAAAGGAATTCCTTGTGTTCAGTTTACTTTATATTAAAAATGGTGAGTCTATGACATTTTCTATTGTTAGCAATATAAATATTGATAACAACCATTTTAGAATGTCACCACTAAAATGGGTGTCTGATTTCATGCTTTTTGTTTTATAGTTTTGAAGTGATCAAAGTTATCCATGGCAAATTGTTGGATATGGTGGGGAAAGTACAGTAAGTAGCGACCGTTTATCTCTTTTTTTAGATGTACTAGTATCATCTGAACAATCAAATAGGGCACTGACCAGTGTACTTTGGCTTTTTTCCCCTTGTGTTAACAGAATACCTATTATGTTGGTTGGGAATAAGAAAGACCTACATATGGAAAGGTATGTAGCTTCTAAATACTGCTGTATAAAGTGATGTAGTCACTGAGGTTCTGTTTTTAATTGTTCTTAAAGCCAGAATATTTTTAGCTGTAGCATTTCTGTTTTCAGAAGTGTGGCTATGACTGCATAAGAGAAACAAAACTGCAGTAAAAAACCTCACCCATCGTGGAAAATGTTTCCTCTAAAAAAGAGGGCACACTCTGTAGAAAATTATGTTCAGATGCTTTTACCATTTTGCACAAAGCAGACTAAAAAGACAATTGTAGTGCTGGTTTAGTCAACACAGTTTCTGAGCACCAGGCTGAGGACCCTGTTCTGGGGAGCTCAGCATCTGGAGGAAGACCTAGATGGGAAGACTCAGCCCGTGGGCAGCAGGAGGGCCCCGTGGGCCCTTTCAGAATTGCCCGTCTCTGGGGGCTTACAGCTGAGCTGCTGAGAAAGTAGTCGATTGTTGCGGAGGCCGGAGTCCTATTCTCCAAACCATAGGGGATTTGCAGGAGCTGGGCGGCCCCATCAGGCAGTGTCCGTTCTGCCCCAGCTCCGGGTAGCCGAGACTCTGCGTGCACTCTGGATGAGACCAAGCTAACTGCCTCATCAGTCAGTTACACATACCTTACGTGATAAAGAGCAAAGCATTTCAACAAGAATTTTCTGTTTCTGTTAGGGTGATCAGTTATGAAGAAGGGAAAGCGTTAGCAGAGTCTTGGAACGCAGCATTTTTGGAATCTTCTGCTAAAGAAAATCAGGTACGTGGTTTTTAAAACTCACATTGCCCCATATCCCCTCAGTGGTGGGCGTGTGTTTTGCTGAGTCAGCATCTCCCTGCCATCTTCATCACTCCTGTTCAGTCTTCCTCCTCCCACCACCTCGAGTATCCAGCTCTGCGTTGCTTTAGGAAGATAAAAAGCTGTTGATACTTTAATTCAGTCAGTGTTCTAAGTATGATGGGACCTAGAATATTTGTATGATAAATAGAAATTAATTAATGTAAAGGCAGTACTTCCTTTGCCAACACGCAGTCTTATTTTTGTTTCATGCTAAAGGCTGGTACAGAACTAAGTCCAGGTGTAGAAAAGAAACAAGAATGATTTGAAATCACTTTGGCAATAATTTTGTTCTTGTACCTCCTCCCTTTTTGTGTTGGGTAAACTGAGTTAGATGTATGTGTTGTTTTTAAACATAGAAACCAGTAAGAACCATTCCACAAGCATGTTTCACCAGTGTCAGCCCTGCAGGTAGATGCTTCTTTACAGGCATGTATGAGGAGGGATGTCAGTTCTATGTCAGCAGGCTTCCTGTGTCCCCTTTTTCCTTTTCCTTCCTTTAGACCCAGAGTGGCCCAGCTTGCATCCTGCCTCCACGTGCTCACCAGTGTTTCTTTTCGCTGCAGATCAGATGATGTCACTCACGTAAAAACTGTCAGTGGGTTGCCCGTTGTCTGTCGAACAAGCCCCAAAGCGCTTAGCGTGGTGATGAGTGCAGGGTGTGACTCACACTCTTCCAGTTTCTTCCACCGCATCCTGTGCTTGGCAGGCCCACCAAGCCCCTCCCACTCCCCTCAACACCATGGAGCTTGCAGATGCCTCCCCTGTGTCCTCATGTCTCTCTAGTGAGAAACGCTCTTTCTCTGATTGGCTGCATACTTAGTCTTTTCAACATGTCATCTTGTCTGATCCTCAGATAAAACGAATTGGCTTGCATTTTTGTGAGAAACTACAGTTCAGGGGTGGGGAGTGGGGCTTGTGGTCGAGGACAGTGGGCTGTCCTTCCCCAGCTCCGCTCCCTCTCCCCACCAAGACCCCTGCCCTTGGAGCTGCTACTCAAATCCCACCTCCTCCTTGGCCCTCAGGAGTCTTCCAGCCAAAATTAGTGTCTTCTCTCTGATCCCCTTTGTTTGATCCTGAGATTCAGGGACAGTATCACTGAGCTTCGTGTTCTCCACACTGTCCAGCCACTGATTCTGTACATACAGTGGTTTTGTTTCTAGTAGGTGCCTGATCAACCCAGGGATCCCCTGACAGGCAGATCTGTTTGTCCCTGTGTCACCAGGTGAGGGAACTTAACTATGCGGTTGCCTCCTGGGTTGTAAATAACAAGACATTTATCTGCAGTTGTTTAGTTTCTGAGTGCAGACCCTGGTGGCTCAGACAGTAGAGAATCTGCCTGCAATCCAGGAGACCCCAGGTTTGATCCCTGAGTTGGAAAGATCCCTTGGAGAAGGGAATGGCAACCTACTCCAGTATTCTTGCCCAGCAGTTCAATGGACAGAGGAGCCTGGCAGGCTACAGTCTGCAGAGTGGGACACGACTGAGCAACTAACACACACATCCAGACAGAATCCAGTTGGGATAGTAAGAGACACCTGTATTGTCTATAATTGAATTAAACCAAACATTGAGTGTCTTATCTACCCTTAAGATCATCTAGTTGATCTGTCTCATTTTAGAAGTGAGGCATTTAAGATCCAAGAGGTGAATAACCTTTTAAGATCACTCTGTACTGCAGGTGGTGTAAGAACTTGGACTGAATTTTGAATTTAACCCAGATCTAGTCCTCTCTCCTCTCTACCTTGCTTTCTGATAGATGAGAAGACCTGTGCCTGACCAAAGTGTCATAGAGATGAAAGTTCCTGACGGGGAGAGGGAGACTGTTCTGTATTTAAATATCTCTCTGAACCTTGAATGGATCTGGTCTAAAATGGCTAGTGTGAAAGACGTTTCCAGTCAGTTGGAGAGATTTGAGTACATTTTGGAAATGATTGTCTTAGGTGTAGTGATGGTGTTGGGATTAGGAGAGACTATATCCTTACTCTTAGAAAATGCAAACCAGAGTATTTAAGGGCCAAGTTTCATAATGCCTACAACTTAGTTTCAGATGAAATAAATAGGTAGATGGATAGAGGGAAAGCAAGCAGATACAGCACAGATGTTAACATTTGTTGAACTCAGGAGCAGAGCCCAGTGGTTACAGTTGACCCCATTTTTCTTTGTGCCTGAAAATTTACATTATCAAGATTTGAAGGGGTTAGAAAGTATACAGGTTATAAAATAAAGAAATCTTGGGGATGTGATATACAGCATGGTGACTATGCGGTATATTTGAAAACTGCTAAGAAAAGAGTGGATCCTAAAAGTTCTCATCATAAGAAAAAACAAATTGTGACTGTGAAACAATACGTTCTTACATTGAGTCATGATGTTGTACACCTGGAACATATGTTTGTGACAGCTGTATCTCAATTTAAACATGTTTGGGGTGAGGAGTGCGGTTGGATGGCCCTCCGCTTTCTTTGGTCTGTTTACTGACTTCCCTCTGTTTTGGTTCTTTGATGAAAATCTGAGGATCCAAGAGCAGTTACGCTTTCCAGCTTGATGATTACGCAGGCGTCAGCCGCTGTCCCATTCTTCTGTGGGTGCCCATGGTCCCTCTGCTGTGTGTTCGTGTGTGCTGTTCTGGACGTGGCAGTTCCTTTATTACTCTTGCCAGCAGCCTCAAAGGTGTAGACCCTTCATGGACCCTGCCTCCATGTAATCAAGAGGAATCGCCTCGTGAGCCTCAGGCTGCTGTATCTTCTGAGAGTGGCCTAGGGTTGTGGCCACTGAGAGCGGCCTGCTTGGCTTAGGACTTGTTACTGAACTACGATTTGGTCTGAGGATGCAGGCCTGTCCTGTCTAGTTTATGTTATATAGCTTAAGATTCTTAATACAATTCTGGATAGATTTACTCTTTGACCTTTCAGTTTCATTTAGAAGATAGTAGACTACTTTTTCAGTGTCTGGAGGAAAGATGGAATTGTGCTCAAGGCTTAAAGTTAAAATGAAAAAATACCATCAGCTGAAACTCTTAAAGAAGATAAGGGTGCAGTATGGTGGCCTCAGACATCCCAGACAAGCTCAAGGGTCAGATGAACCAACCCACCGTTGCCTTGGTTGCTTGAGCATCTTCATCAGATCAACAAACGCCTTATCAGACATGAAACAACCCGTTAGGTAGAAAGATTTTTGCCCCCTCGTTAGGTACATACAGTGATGGTATGCATATCCTTGGAAAGCCGCAGTCCTCACAGTTGTGTGGACTCTTCTCAGCCCTTGCTTATGGCTCCTGGGACCTTGTCTCACCTTGTTGTCGAATCTGCTTCCGTCAGGTGGGGAGAAACCAAGTCCCTCTGACCTCTGTACGTGAGAGGTGTAGGTGATTCTGGTCCACACAGATACTACATACTAGAATGCTCACTACTCTTGGTCTGTGTGTAGAAAGAGAGAGAGACTCTTCCTCATCAGTAAGAGATGCCTCATCAGTAGTCACACGATTAGAGACCGGTCTGTGTAAACTGCTGGAATTTTTTATTGATAAGTTTTCAACGGTAGCTTCATACTACTTACCAAAATCCAGTATTTTAAAATAAACTGTCCTCAATGGAATTGAGTCAGATTTGTTGATAACAAAATACACAGTGGTTTAAAAAAAAAAGAAAAATTATCAACTCAGTGTGAATACTGCACTTGGACTATTACTGAACTATGAGATCTGTTTGCAGTTTTGGCTTATTTTCTGTGGAGACCTTCACAAACTGTATTCCAGCAGTCTGATGAAAGAGAATGCACTTTGGCAGAGTCAGACCACACAGGTAATCAAAGAGAGTGCTAAGATTTATCTAGAAAGCCAGATTCCAGGCACACTGTACTCTCTTTGTAAGACTTTGGCATGCGTCTTTCCACACATTTTTCTGTGCATTTTTCTTCAGTCGCTCAGTCGTGTCCCCGACTCTTTGTGACCCCATGAATCGCAGCAGGCCAGGCCTCCCTGTCCATTACCAACTCCCGGAGTTTACTCAAACCCATGTCCATCAAGTCAGTGATACCATCCAGCCATCTCATCCTGTCGTCCCCTTCCCCTTCTGCCCCCAATCCCTCCCAGCATCAGGGTCTTTTCCAATGAGTCAGCTCTTCGTATGAGGTGGCCAAAGTATTGGAGTTTCAGCTTCAGCATCATTCCTTCCATTGAACACCCAGGACTGATCTCCTTGAGGATGGACTGGTTGGATCTCCTTGTAGTCCAAGGGACTCTCAAGAGTCTTCTCCAACACCACAGTTCAAAAGCATCAATTTTTCGGTGCTCAGCTTTCTTCACAGTCCAACTCTCACATCCGTACATGACCACTGGAAAAACCATAGCCTTGACTAGATGGACCTTTGTTGGCAAAGTAATGTCTCTGCGTTTTAATATCCTATCTAGGTTGGTCATAACTTTCCAAGGAGTAAGCATCTTTTAATTTCATGGCTGCAATCACCATCTGCAGTGATTCTGGAGCCCAAAAAAATAAAGTCTGACACCGTTTCCACTGTTTCCCCATCTATTTCCCCTGAAGTGATGGGACCAGATGCCATGATCTTAGTTTTCTGAATGTTGAGCTTTAAGCCAACTTTTTTACTCTCTTTCACTTTCATCAAGAGGCTTTTTAGTTCCTCTTCACTTTCTGCCATAAGGGTGGTATCATCTGCATATCTGAGGTTATTGATATTTCTCCCAGCTATCTTGATTCCAGCTTGTGCTTCTTCCAGCCCAGCGTTTCTCATGATGTACTCTGCATATAAGTTAAATAAGCAGGGTGACAGTATAAAGCCTTGACATACTCCTTTTCCTATTTGGAACCAGTCTGTTGTTCCATGTCCAGTTTTAACTGTTGCTTCCTGACCTGCATACAGGTTTCTCAAGAGGCAGGTCAGGTGTTCTGGTATGCCCATCTCTTTCAGAATTTTCCACAGTTTATTGTGATCCACACAGTCAAAGGCTTTGGCATAGTCAATAAAGCAGAAATAGATGTTTTTCTGGAACTCTCTTGCTTTTTTAACGATCCAGCAGATGTTGGCAATTTGATCTCTGGTTCCTCTGCCTTTTCTAAAAGCAGCTTGAACATCTGGAAGTTCACGGTTCACATATTGCTGAAGCCTGGTTTGGAGAATTTTGAGCATTACTTTACTAGCGTGTGAGATGAGTGCAGTTGTGCGGTAGTTTGAGGATTCTTTAGGATTGGAATGAAAACTGACCTTTTTCAGTCCTGTGGCATTTTTCTTAGGATGAAATAAATAAATAACATGCCTGCTTAGTCATGGCAAAGGAGGGGAATGGATAATGTGGAAAGAGGGGTGCTTGCTGAAGTCAGTGGCCTTGATTAGAGTGCTGGGCCTGGGGCTGGCTGGGGCTCGCCTGGGGCTGCCTCTGTCATTCCATCCTAGGTAGGAGTGAGCCAGAGTGGATGAGCCCAGACTCAGGGCATGGTCATTGGTGGACGAGTTCGCTTATGGGTGCTGCTTCTGTGTAGAACGCAGTCGTCAGCTGAGGGTGAGAACAGGACAGAGGTTCAGAGACCCCGGTGGAAGGAGGTGTGACCCCTTCATCCCGGGGTGTGACTGGACCGGGAAAGTGTGGGTGGGCGCTGGGACTCGGGGCCCTGGGGGAGTGTCCCCTGGCTGTGTCCGCTGTGTGGGTGCAGGCGGACGGATGGCAGGGCGGGGAGCGGAAGGACAGTGACTGCCTGGGGCCTCTGCCGGCCCCGGAGAGAGGGCAGGGAAGTGTGGTTGGATTGAGGAAGCGGGCTGAGGGGTGCTGGCCAGCAGGATACTGAGTGGAACTGAAAAGCAAGATGGGGGGCTGGTGCCTGGTAATGACAGGATGTAGGTGCTACCCCACGAGGCTTTTGAAAACGGGCGTTTCGGGGTTATCACAGTGACTGCCCCGAAATGACGGGGACTGATGGCTGCCCTGAGTGATGGCTTCCCGCCCTGAGGGACAGGGGCTCCTTGAGAGGGGCCGGGGTGACCGTGACGGGGTTCGGAGAGGACAGCCTCAGAGTCAGAGCTGAGGGGTTTAAGGAGGTGGAGGGGAGAGGGCGTGAAGGGCGGGGTGCGGTGCGAGGCAGGAGGAGCCCCTGCCCTGATCCAGTCCAGAGCCCCCCGGGGTGGGGAGGGAGGCGTGTGGGGACGGGGCTCTGAGGCCAGAGGGGAGCGGGCCAGAGCCCGGGAGTGACGGATGAAAAGGGGGGTCTCCAGAGCAGGTGGGAGCCCTGGCTCCTGCGGCGCTGGGGCACCTCCAGCCGGTGGCCTCCACCCCTGAGCTCCGAGCGCAGGACTGGGCAGCAGGCCGCCTCCTGTCTGGCGGCAGAGACCGCCTTCGTCCTGGTGTGTCTCGGTCGCCGAGGCCTGTCTGACTCTCTGCAACCCATGTTGGTCACGGCTCCACTTTAAAACTAATGCCAGTTGGTTTTCTCTCTGTTTTCAGACTGCTGTTGACGTTTTTAGAAGGATAATTTTGGAGGCAGAAAAAATCGATGGGGCCGCTTCACAAGGAAAGTCTTCCTGTTCGGTGATGTGATTCTCCTGCAGAACCGGGACGCTGGGGCCCAGTCCCGCCTGAGGAAGCCAACTGCCCGTCATCCTTTACGATAAACTGCTTCATTTCTCTTCTGTTAACCTGAAAGATTTCATTTGGGTCAGAGATTCTCCCCCACCCCCTCCTTTCAGATTATGTTCAACTCTGACTCTGTCCAAATGAGTTCACTTCCATTTTCAAATTTTGAGCAATCATATTTTCAATTTATATATTGTATTTCTTAATATTATGACCAAGAATTTTATCGCATTAATTTTTCAGTGTAGTTTGTTGTTTAAAATAATGTAATCATCCAAATGATACATATTGTTACACTACTATTAACTAGGCTTCGATATATCAGTGTTTATTTCATTGTGTTAAATGTATACTTGTAAATAAAATAGCTGCAAACCTTCATCTTTGTGCTTCTCAGTGTGGCTTGTAAAGAAGAAAGCTGTCCTCCTGAGGGCACCTCACGCAGCCTCCTGGGAGCCTCTGGGTTGGATTGCAAGGAGCCGCTGGGGGCTGTGGCCACGGACAGAGGCGAGTGGCCCACCTGGCAGCCATGGGCAGTGGGGTAGAGTGCCTGAATGTGGGGGGTCTCTGACTGAAGTCGAGTGGCCTTGGGGGAGATCTGTGAGGGGAGTTGTTCCCCAATAACGACTGTGTCCCCCATACCCCAAAAAGTTCCCCTCTTGGGTGGAGTGTTTCTCGCAGGTGGGACTACGGGCTTCCTGAGGGCCTTCTGGGCTCCCTCTGGCTTGTCTCTTAAGAGATGTAGGGAGACACTTTTGTACTTAGCTTGATGTCCATGGCAGGCAGGATCTCAGGAAATTGACCGACCTGTCACCATCCCAAGCCTCCAGGAGTGTGAAGGACAGGAAAGATTGCCTGGTCAGTCTTCTGTGTTCACAAACCTCCCGCAGACCTGGGCCACGGATCTCCTGCTCTCAAAGCAGCAGCTTGGAAGGACAAGCAGAGATGGAAACTGCCTGGTGTCCGTCACCTCAACTCCAGCTTAGTTGACTAATGTGTTAAATGCTGCCCTCTCCCAGGTAAAATTTCATAGGGCCATTTCTAACATTTAAGGAAATGTTACTGATTCTGTTGATCAAATATAATTTTGCTTTGTAACTGACTTTTTAATGAAAAAGTTATGTTTTTAGAATATGCCATTATTTTGGACCTTTGAAGTGTTTTTGCCTCATCGTTCGAGGATGAAATTTGAGCCTTAGAAGAACTTCACCAAATATTTTTTATTTAAATAAAGATACATTTTAGCAATGTAGTATCTTTACTTATTAACAGGGTTTATTCTTAGGTGTAATGTTATGTGTCAGTGCTCTCACTGGATGTGGAAAAAAAAAATGAAAATGTTAGTCACTGAGTCATTTCCAGCTCTTTACAACCCCATGGACGGTAGCCTAACCAGCCAGGCTCCTCTGTCCTTGGGATTCTCCAGGCAAGAATGCTGGAGTGGGGGGCCATTTCCTTCAGGGGATCTTCCCGACTCAGGGATGGAACCCGCGTCTCTCGCACCTCCTGTGTTGGGGGGCAGGTTCTTTGCCAACTGAGGCACCAGGCGGGCCACATTAAACCTGGATCCAGTTCATCCAGGCAACCTTTCTCGTCTGGTAAGTTATTTCTGTGTAAATGGAAGCTTGGAGCAGTGTATTCGTGTTTTTTGTTCAGTCACTCAGTCGTGTCCAGCTGTTTGTGACTGTGGCCTGCCAGGCTCCTCTGTCCATGGGATTCTCCTGTCTTCCAGCTCACCATCGCCACTGAGTCTCCTTGGCTGTCTCCTCCATTAACCTCTCTGTGGGCCCTTCTCCTTGATTTGCTGTTTCCTCCAATTCAGTCACTCAGTCGTGTCTGATGTCTGACTCTTTGCGTCCCCATGGACTGCAGCACACCAGGCCTCCCTTGTCCATCACCAACTCCCGAAGTTTACTCAAACCTCAGGTCTGTTGAGTCAGTGATGCCATCCAACCATCTCATCCTCTGTTGTCCCGTTCTGACTTCAATCTTTCCCAGCATCAGGGTCTTTTCCAATGGGTCAGGTCTTTGCATCAGGTGGCCAGAGTATTGGAGTTTCAGCTTCAACATCAGTCCTTCCAATGTATATTCAGGACTGATTTCCTCTCGGATGGACTGGTTGGATCTCCTTGCAGTCCAAGGGACTCTCAAGAGTCTTCTCCAACACCACAGTTCAAAAGCATCAATTCTTCAGGGCTCAGCTTTCTTTATAGTCCAACTCTCACATCCATACATAACTACTGGAATAAACCATATCTTTGACTAGACAGGCCTTTGTTGGCAAAGTAATGTCTCTGCATTTAGTATGCTGTCTAGGTTGGTCATAACTTTTCTTGCAAGGAGCAAGTGTCTTTTAATTTCATGGCTGCAGTCACCATCTGCAGTGATTTTGGAGCCCCCCAAAATAAAGTCTGTTACTGTTTCCTGAAGACCAGAATTCATTTCTTCCACCCTCACCTCTGTGGGCTCCAGGCTTGTCTTTTAGATGTCTCATAGGCACGATCTCACATTTATCATGCCCCAAATTGAATTCTTTGATTTTCCCTATAAACATGGTCTTCCACTGGACCCTGTTTCGGGAAAAGGCACCACTAGGTGCTAAAGCTAGGCTTTGGGAGCCATCCTCAGCCAATCCGTCAACAAACCCTAAAGGCACTGCCTTCAGAAATCTTAGATTTTCCCTACTTTTTCCATCTTCACTGCATACTATCCTCTAATGGCACACCCTCCAAAGCATTTATACTGCAGCCCAAGTCAACTTGTTTACACATTGTTTATGTTACTCCCTTGCTTAAAATCCTTTAATAATAAATGTGCCTATTCAGGGCCTCGGGCATCTCATTTTCCAACTTTTCTTGTGAAAAAAATTAAGAGCTTCCTTGTTTACATTTGCTGTGACTCAGTTGGTAAAGAATCTCTGCCATGTGGGAGACCTGGGTTCAATCCCTGGGTTGGGAAGATCCCCTGGAGAAGGGAAAGGCTACCCACTCCAGTATTCTGGCCTGGAGAATTCCATGGGCTGTATAGTCCATGGGGTCTCAAAGAGTTGGACACAACTGAGCAACTTTCACTTTTACAGCATCAAATAAATTGCCACTGATTGCTTTTGACAAACACCCCTGGGGAAAAGGGAGTCAGGTCAAAGACAAGCCTTGCAGAGGGGGTTTTCCAGGGAACTGCAGATGATGACATTCTGAGCTGAGAAATCAGCAATCCCAACCTGACCCTTCCTGCATCTGCTTAAGGAGGCACCTGGCAGTGGGGCAAGTGGCCATGCCTCGAGGAGCTCGCTGGGCTGGGAATTGGCCGGTTTCCCTAAACAGCCCAGGACTGGTGCGAGCCTTTCATCTCCAGACCTATGAAAAAGCTGATACTTTTGGACAATGTGTTGCCAGGGTTTTCACTGATTTCTGAAGGTTCTTCCTGCATGCTCCCCAATGGTGACCTTCTGGAGCCTGCAGACAGCTGTTTGTTGAGTGGATGAGTAGCAGACCCCTGCCACGCGCTGCCTTCTACACAGGTTCCCTGGAATTTGGCCTGTGTCTGCTGCAATGTGGAGGAACCCCTCACCATTCACACAGTACGCTGGGATGGGCTTTAATCAATCTCAGGTCCACCCCTTATCTAACAAAGGAGTGACGGTCTTCTCTGGTGGAGCAGTGGCGAAAAATCCACCTGCCAATGCAGGAGACGCAGGAGAGTTCAATCCGTGGCTCGGGAAGATGCCCTGGAGAAAGGGAATGGTAACCCACTCCAGCATCCTTGCCTGGGAAATCCCACGGACAGAGGAGCTTGGCGGGCTATAGTCCATGGGGTCACAAAAGAGTTGGACACGACTGAGCAACTAAACAACAGGGAAAGAGTGATGCTCTCTTAAGAGGATGTCAAAGGACCACAATAAGCACTGCCTTTAGGTGATCATCTAAGTGTAGAAAAGGTTTAATGATTCTTGGAGAAGTCTGGACTTCTGAGAAAACCCTTCCAGCTCCTGTGGGCTCTGACACACGTGAGCGGCTTGCTGGCGGAAGGTCTCCGGCTGCCCTGGTTACTCCGTTGACCGAGACTCTTGTGTGGGTGAATAGAGGCTGCCACAAAGGCCATGTCAGCAGGAAATGGGGACATCTTCATAAACGTTCTCAGAAAACTCTAAACTTCTAGAATTTTCATCTTCGCCCCACTCCTTCATCTCCCCAGGAGGGAGAGTTACACATCAGGTCAAAAACCTTGACGTGAGTAAAGTTTTTGTGTCCCGTCCTTATTACCCTTTTTACCTCTGGCAGCTTCCTAGCCTGACCCAGGGAAGTCTGCTCTGCAGTTAGGGCTGCAGATGCTAAGAGCTAACCTAACATCTGTTATCAGAGGAGGGGCCGTTAACATCTGTTATCATCTGATAACATCTGATAACATCTGTTAACATCTGATAACATCTGTTATCAGAGGAGAGACCCCCACCGTCCCGCCCATGAGTCAGTTCATTGGTGTTCGCACCACACCACGTGTGATTGTGACCCCAACACACAGGGAACCCCCCAAATGAGTGGCGCGTCAGACGAAGACTTGGCAGTCGTGGTCCCAACTCTGCAGCTAATGTCTGTGTCTCTGGGCAACTCCTTTATGGCCACTGGTCCTGATTCCTGTACCGAGAAGACCTCGCTGCCGCAGACTGTTGTCACGGCCACAGGTATGAAAACCGTGGCTGTTTCCAAAGCCCAGCACCAGTGCTGACCACTGTTCTTCAGGTAACGAGCTGATCAGACCCCCGGGCTTGAGCTCTCCCACCTCGGCAGGGCCTCCACTGCTGCTGCAGCTCCGAGGTCCCCAACCGGGCGGCTCCCGCCACAGTCGATGGCTCCGAACTCCAGCCGTATCGCCGCCTCTGGGCTGCACATCCCTAAAGGGCAAGATGGAAAGTCACAAATTCCTCTACAAGCAAGTTTACCAGGAAGTTTCCTGCCAGTCCGGCC